CTCCTTGGTGGAGAAAAGGCTGAAGACACAATAAGACTCCTACAGTTAAGTCTTAAGAGTATTTGTTATTAAAGAGGCAAGGTCTTAAGATGTGCTTTTTAACAGTCTTTACTTTGGCTGTAATTTAAGATGACTTTTACAAATTAGATCCTAATCCTTGCAGACACAGATGGCTGTTACAGAATAGCCTTGCAAAAACACTAGTCATTTGACTTGAAAGAGCATTCAAAGAAGGATGAAGAGCCATTAACTCTTACCCCACCTCTGGGTCTGAGAGGCCTAAAAATTCCTGGGTGGGCTTTCTGACTTTAGGACTGGAATCTGGGTGGGTCTAGGTCATTTGTTGTGATTTGAAACAGCCTCGGTCCTTCACTACGGAACTAGAGATTTAGGGGAGCCTGAGGTCACTAACATTTGACAATAGTTCCTGAATGCTTATATATGAGGTACCACAGAGGATATAGATTTGAACATGATTTGGGCTGCCTCTGTAAATCATTACAGAACAACAGAACAAGCACTATGAGAGAGGAGTGCACAAACTACAATGGTATATTGGTGGGGAGCTTGGGAGAAGCCCATAGAAAGGTGACTTCTGAACTAGGCATTAAAAGATAAGTTCAAACAGGCCAGGGACATGGAGGCATGAGAATCTGTGTCATTAGTGAATAATGAGCAATCTCCTATCTCCTGCTGATAAAAATAAAAGAGGCAGGATATAAGAAAGGCACAAATGGAACAGACTGTAAATCAAAAAACATTCTAAGGGGTCTGTACTTATTCTAGGCTAGTAGGGGCTATTAAAAAGTTTTAAGCAAGAGAAGAAATTATCAGAGCTGGGTTTTTGAAAAAATAACTGTGGCAGATGATTTCAGGTTGACCAAGGGCCATAAAATGGACTTGTGATTAGTTTTGGGAGACTCCTGATTTCTCTGACAGGTGGCTTGGTTTTTTTCTTTGGGCAACAAAGGCAAACTTGATTTAAATTGGCCTTGGAATAGGGACCAAGGTAGAAATGGAGTCAGGAGTGAAAGAGATGCTAGGAGAAGAGAATGTTAGCCACACTGAATAGTTTTCTTCAGCAATGTAAAACAAAGGATCAGTGATGAAAAGCCAAATCAGGAGTAGATTTTCTCTAAGACTACATGATGGGCTTTCTACTTAGGGCTTGTCCATAATGACATAACAGTCTGCATTGAAAAGGTTGAAAAGTTGGTTACTAGAACTCAAAGTAGGAAAGTGGCAAATGCAAGAATCCTCTGCATTTCATTTCAGTTTAAAGTAGCCCCCAAAATACCCACCATAATTGAACTTCTCCAGGGACCCCTACCATAATTAAACTTCTTGTCAGCAAGATTTTACAAAGAGTATCAATGGGATTTCACAGGATTTCAGCTAAAAGCTCATTGTGGTTTGAAGATTCCTTTTTTTTTTTTTTTTTTTTTGTGAATGCCAGGTTTGCATACAAAAGGTGTGATAGACTCTGTCTCAACAGTTTGCTGTGTAAAAGTTACTGATTCTGTTTTCCATGGTAAAAATTTGTGAAACCTCTGTCTGACCTAAGAATGTGGAACAAAAAGTAACTATTATGAACCCACCCACTGTCGTGTTACCATCTCACTGAGTATAAATGTAAAACAATTTCCAGACCTGGGGTCCAAAAGATTTTTGAGGCATTAGTCCCTCTGGTCAGCTGCAGCTTAAATAAACCTGCTTCCTGAAAATTCCTTGGATGTCCAGCCTCATCTATCCTACATCAAGTTCTCCTGCTTCTTTTCAAAAGCAACTTTTTAGTCTACATTTTTTTTACCATGTAAGAAGAGGTTGTTAACACTGAAGAGAAAATCTTTCTTTTAAAAAAATTTTTCTCCCCCACCCATCTATAATCAGATTTAATTTTGTTTCAAATTAATTTTAAAGACCAGGAAGGTCCTTATTTCTTTCACTTTACTTCTTTTACTACCTTCATTTTACAGATAAGGCCTAGACGGGGAGTGACTTAAAACCAATGAATAGGAAGGATTCATTTAGGTCTTAAGTTAGTCAGCTCTCCAAGATGAAATGTTCATTGCAGAATATAAAGTAAAGAGAAACAGGCTGATCTTGAACCCCCTGATAATGGCTCTTTTCTAAATATTCAGACACTGAGGGGCTGAGGTTATGGCTCAGTGGTAGAGTTGCTTGTCTAGCATGTGTGGGGCCCTGGGTTCAATCCTCAGCACCACATAAAAACAAATAAAGGTATTGTGCCCAACTACAACTAAAATAAATAAATAAATAAACAAATACTCAGTTACTAAGAGTTCAATTTCAGTGACAGAATTTAACCCATTTTGCCCCATTGTTCCAGATGTAGAACTATAAAAGAATTAGATAATTATGATTGAATAATTATAATATTAATAGATGTAATCATATATAAAAGGTCTAAATTATGATTCAAACACTTTTTTTTTTCAGTAGCATAATTTTATTTTTACCAGACTGTAAGGCAGTCACTAATTTGATTACAATCAAAATGAATTATAATTGAGGATTAAAATCACCCTAACCTGTGAACAACTCCTTGTCACATCACTCTCTGAATAGTTTGTAACCCATTTTAGAAAACCTTCTGAAAACCTACTGGCACAACTGAAGGGACCCAGCAGAGGTCCTGAATGTTAAGATAATTTGACCTAGATTCATACCTCTTATTTTTTTTTTCATAATATGCATCTAAATTCTCATTTTGTGTTAAAAGGAATTTTCCCCAATGAAGGATCACSCAGGGATCTGGGGTTTGGAGTGAATGCAATAACTTGCAGCTCTGTATGATGTGCCTTTTGGAAAAAGAGGGAACACATTTTTGGTTATAAATGAACTAGCTGTACTATTTTGTGTTTACTTAAATCAAATAGATTTTTAAATTATAAAACATTTTAGATTGWGAAATATAAATTATACGAGGGATACCGAGCATCTATGTAGTCAYTTCTCAGCTTTTAAGAAATACATTAAAAATTTAAGCTGAGCATGGTGGTGGGCACCTATAATTCTAGGTACTTGGGAGGCAGAAGCAGGAGGGTCACTTGAGCCCAGGAGTTTTATACCTGCCTGGAGTGAAGGTCAGCCTGGGTAACATAGGCAGACTCCGATTCAAACACTTTAAAAAAATTTTTTAGAGTTGTGGATGGACAGAATGCCTTTATTTTATTTGTTATGCGGTGCTGAGGATGGAATCCAGTGCCTCTCATGTGTTAGGCAAGCACTCTRCAACTAAGCAACAACCCTAGCCCTACAAACTATTTTAATGCAACTCTGTCAATATTCTCAGAATTGAAAATTTGGGACTTAATAGGTTAAGGTAGTTTCTTACCTGACTGTGTGGTAAGAGCATGTGCATTCCTTATCTTGTGCATGTTTGTGTGCTTTACATATGAATAAGGGGGAAAAGGCTCAGAGTAGTAGGAAGGGCACTGAGAAAAGGACCAATGGCTACAACCACCTGGAGTCCACAATACGCTCCTGGACTCAGATGTAAGCAGAATACTCATTCCACCCAGAGGGGATTTATGGCTGTCTGATAGAGTTATACATATATCACTCATTTCTGATTCTGTCCTGCAAATCTGATAGTCAATATGAGGGACCTGGATAAGTCTTATGGTATGTTAGATGAAGTCCAGGTTACTAGACTTASATGATAATGGAATCACAGAACATTAAACTATGTCTTATAGTTGAGCTAGTCCAATTCCATGTAAAGCAGAAACACTAGGAATGGATCCCTCTCCATAAATACATATCTGTATTGTGGAAAAGAGAACTAATTGTTATCTCCAAAGATAGAAAAACTTCTTTACAACACAAGATATTCCTTTCTTAGAAAGTGCCCAAATGTATCTATCTCCTTGTAACTTTCAATATATTGATCCCATTTCTACCCTAAAGCCTGAAAAAGTAAGATACCTCTTTTATATGGCAAGCCTTCAAGTAGTTGAAGTAGTTGAAGACAACAACAATGTCTTCCATGCCCTTTCCTTCTCTAGAGGATATATTCCTCAGATGACATAATTTTCAGTTATTTCTGCTTCCTACCAGCCCTGCTCTGCATTCTGGAAGCTTCATTTTGTCCACTGTTTCATATTTTAAGGTTTTCTTGAATCTTATTATTCATTATCCACAAATCAGAGAAAGTCTTTGTATAGGATGTCGATATATATAGTAAGTAATAAAGAACTAAATAAAGAGCCTCTTGGTTTCCACCAGGGAGATAACAATCAACATTTTCTGGACATAACCATTTATTCAGTAATGAATACATCTAACTGTAGATCTCTCTCTCTCTACCTTGTCCATGAATACTATGAAACATTACCAAATACTTTTGTTGAAATACAGATACACAGTAAATATGGTCATCATACTTGTCTTTCCAGGCTAGTAAAACTATCAAAGTAAAACTATGGTGCATGCTTATAATCCTAGTGAATTAGAAGGCTCAACCATGAGAATTGCAAGTTTGAGGTCAGCCTCATCACCTTAGTGAGATCGAATTTCAAAATAAAAAATAAAAAGGACTGTAGATGTAGCTCAGTGGTAAAGCCCCCTCAGTTCAATCTCTAGTACTGCAAACAAAACAAAAATCCCTCAAATCACAAAATACTCTTTGAACCAAAACTTTGATCCTGATGGAACAATTAGGCTGTTAAGCACACAATTTTTAGGTATACTCTGAGGCAAAAAATAAAAGAAAAGCCTATATGAGTGGTGGAATAGGGGAAAAAGCTAGATAGTAAAGAAAAGAATTTCTTACATGGGTTCCTGGCTATATGTTTGCTGGCCTGGTAAGCCTTACCTTCTTCAAAAGATGAGGAGAGAATGATGTGCAGAACAAAGAGACTTTGGGTGTCTTTTAGAAGACTACCACTTGATCTTTTTTTTGGACTACTTTTCCTAGCCACAGTGATGGGATCTCCTATGTGGACACACTGCCTATGATGAGAAAGGCAACTTACATCTCTCCTAGGAAAGGTGCTCAGTAACTTGAATTCATCCCATGGAAATCCTTTAGAAGCAACGAAATCAAAGACAATCTGGAGYTTATTGCTGGCCAGGAAACGCCGCTCTAGGAACTCGCCACTGGGGGTACGGATCCGCAGTTTGCTCACAGGCTCAGCATTTTCTTCCTTTGGTTCTGGAGGCAGGGCTTGCTCTAAGGAGAGTCTGATGGCCTAAGTAGAGAAAAAAACCCAGGTGTTAAAATGTAAGATAGATGGGCTGTAGGGAGTGGGAAAGACTAGAACACAGCTGCTACTTTCTAGGAACTCATCAAAAAGTTACTGCTCCATTTATTAAGCAACACTAATGCTTGAACAATAAAATCAGGTGTTTTTAAATTTTCTTAATATTAATAAAGACAATTCATTAAACTATATCCCGCCTTGAAGACATGTTTTATTAAACCAATAGGTAACTACTTCAAAAATAAGGGCTTTCCCCCTCCCCCCCTCTAAACTGAAGAACTCAGACATTTGTGATTGAGGAAACAAATATCAAATACCCAGATGCTTTTTAGGGTATAAATGAGGGTATTAGAAGCATTCACAAAACACACACATTCATATTTAAGAAAACTCATTGACTAATTAGAAACAATCAAAGAATCAACAAAATATTGGAGCGTGTGTGTGTGTGTGTGTGTGTGTGTGTGTGCATGTGCACGGGCGTGCACGCACACACATACACATACACATTTTTTTGGTACCAGGGAACGAACCCAGAGGCGCTTTACCATGGAACTACATTCCCAGCCCTTTTTATTTTTTATTTTATTTTATTTTAAAGAGAGAGACAGAGAGAGAGAGAGGAATTTTAATATTTATTTATTTTTTAGTTTTCAGCGGACACAACATCTTTTGTTTGTATGTGGTGCTGAGGATTGAACCCGGGCCGCACGCATGCCAGGCGAGCACGCTACCACTTGAGCCACATCCCCAGCTCCTTTTTATTTTATTATTTATTTTGAAACAGGGTCTAAGTGCCTCACTGGCCTCAAACTTGTGATCGTGCCTCAGCCTCCCAAATTGCTGAGATTACATATGTGCATCATAGCACCTAGCCTGGATAATGTGTTAATGACAAAATTGAATGGAAAGATTCTGTTTGGAGTGATGAATTATACTTAAAAGTGGCAAATTTCTCTATATGTTCTGCCACAGGGAAAGTTTAAAAACAAAGTGGAATAAAAAGAGATTCATCAGGTTTATTGGAGGTAGGAAACCACAGCCCTCATTCCACCTCTGCCATTAACTTGATAAGGGGTCTGGACCTATAGATAAACTAATCCCTTTACTTTATGGAAGACAAAACAGACTCAAACATGTAGAATAAACTGTTGAGGTCTCATGGTTAGAATTGGCCTTGAATCCATGTTTCCTAGTTCTCAATCTAGAGTATTGTATTTTCTTTTTTTTTCCATATTCATGATATTCCACCAGAAGATCAGAAGAACTCTTAGATACCGGCACAAACTGGAATTTGTAGCAGAAATTCACAAAAAACTTTAATGTCCCTAGCGCCATGAAAGTTTCCTTAGATAAGTAAGCCTGGTAATCATGTTCTGCTTCACAGCTACATTCTGTTCTTTCTTGGGTAGTTTAACATTTGTATTACTAAATAATCATTAATAGAAGGAATTCCTCCCCCTCAATTAAACTACAACTATCATAATCACAAGATGTGTGAGAAACTGGGACTTATAGTCTTTAAAATCTCAACAGCCATTTTCAAATGTGATGTCACCCTTACAGCTGGGGAAAAACACTGATCTTTTTCTTAAACATCTCAAAAATGAAGTATAAATCAAAACCATAGAATATACAGAAAACAATGATTGTTGAAACACTTCATGCTAGGCTCTGTGGGATTCATCTGAAGCAGTCCTCAGAGGAAATTTATAGACTTAAAATTCGTGGTGGTTGGGGCTGAGGTTGTGGCTCAGTGGTAGAGCGCTCGCCTAGCACACATGAGGCACTGGGTTYGATCCTCAGCACCACACAGAAATGAAATAAAGATTGTGTGTCCACCTACAACTAAAAAATAAATATTAAAAAAAATTTTGTGGTGGCGCCTGTCTGGAATCTCAGTGGCTTGGGAAGCTGAGACAGGAGGATCAAGAGTTCAAAGCCAGCCTTGCCAAGGCGCTAAGCAACTCAGTAAGACCCAGTCTCTAAATAAAATACATAATAGGGCTGGGAATGTGGCTTAGTGGTTGAGTGCCCCTGAGTTCAATCCTCACAACAACAACAACAACAACAACAAATTCATATTGAAAATGAGAAAATAAGTGGGGCATGAGTAGTATATGCCTGCAGTCCCAGTCATGGAGGGAGGCTGAGGAAGCAGGATCACTTCAGCCCAGGTGGTCAAGACCAGCCTGGGCAACACAGCGAGATCCTACCTCAAAAAACAAAAACAAAAACAAATAAGGGGCTGGGGATGTGGCTCAAGAGGTATGGCGCTCGCCTGGCATGCGAGCGGCCCGGGTTCGATCCTCAGCACCACATACAAACAAAGATGTTGTGTCCGCCGGAAACTAAAAAATAAGTATTAAAAAATTCTCTCTCTCTCTCTCTCTCTTTAAAACACACACACACACACACACACACACACACACACACACACACAAATAAAAGTAAAAAGTTTAAAAAAAAAAGTAAATTAAGAATTAGACTAAAAGGTTGGGAAAAGTTCCTCCAAAAATAAACAAGTGGCTAAGTACCCCTGAGTTCAGCACCTAGCACCAAAATGTACAAATGAATGAATGAATAAATAAATAAATAAACAAGTGGAAGGAAAATTTAGAATAATTATAAAAGTATAAAGGAATGAGTTAGAAAAAAAAACCAGTCAGTAAATAAATTGGTTCTTTGGAGAAAATAAATATATGCAAATACAAAGAAAYGAAAAAAATGTAATGCATAGAAAGTGGAAGAAGCAGGATGGATAAGGATACATAGTTTCCTGAATATGTCTTTTTATATTTTTTTACTTATATAAGTGTATTTTCTGTTAAAACATCTAAAATAACCAACAGAAAAACAGTTTGCACAGATATGAGTATGATAAGAAATTATTTAATTTCTGTATCACTTAATTTGGCTGATTCTAATATTAAAATATTTTCTTAAAAAGCAGTAAAAACTTCTGCAATGTGCAGAGAAAGCTAATCTCTTCCATGCTTCAGAGGTCATTTTCCTACTAATAGGCACTAATACCACTGACCTTAGAGGGGATTACAGAGATGGGAATTATAAACATGATATATGTAAAATTCTTAGCGCAGTATCTGTTATGGTTTGGTATGTGGGCCCCCCAAAGCTCCTTTGTCAATGCAGGAATTTCCAGAGGTGAAATGATTAGAYTATGAGAGCTGTAACCTAATCAGCCCATTCTAATTTGAAAGGACTACTGGGGTAGCTGGAGGAGTAGGTCACTTCAGCCCAGGCATTCAAAACCAGTCCCTGCAACACAGTGAGACCCCACTTCAAATAAATAAATAAATAAAACCAAAAAGTTAAAAATGGAAAGAAAAAGAAGTAAATTAAGAGTTAGACCAAAAAGGCTGGGAAAAATTCTTCCCCAAAAAAACAAGTAGAAGAAAAATTGAGAACAAAGTCATTATAAAAGCATATCCTGAGTTAGAAAAAAAAGAGAAATTTCGTATTTGAGAAAACATATTTATTAATTAGAAATAACTGAAGAATCTGCAAAATACTGGAATAAAAAATATATAAATATGAATGTATATGTATTGGAGATTAAACCCATGAGTAGGGGATTGATGGGGGGGTGTTCTGTGAGGGATTGTATTAGGTCTCTCTGGCTTCTCCCTGATTCCACCCTCACTCTCAGCTTCAAGCAGCTTTTCTCCACTGTGCCYTTTTGCCATGAAGTTTTATCTCACCTCAGGCCCATTCCAATGGAACCAGCAGACCATAGACTGAAACCCTGAAACCATCAGCCAAAATAGACTTTTGCTTTTCTAAGTTGTTCTTGCCAGATATTTTGCTCACAGTAACGAAAAGTTGACTAACAGCATTTGACACAACAGGYTTTAATGAATGGTTGTTTATTATTATGAGATAAGACATATACAGAATATCACACCAGGAAGGGGCTACACTGGCCAAACAGTCCTATGCTCTCTCTCTCTCTCTTTTTTTTAATGGGGATAATTGAAGCCCAGAAGATTAAGAAATATAATTTAAAAATTAAAAGGACAGTTAGTTAAACGAGTCATTTCTGCCATTTTTTTTTGTTTGATAGTATGAAAGGAAATTTATCTAATATTGGTATTTTGAGTCACAATGAGTTTCAAGTGAGTATTTCAAATACTAATCTACTTAAGTAACACTGTCATATATTAATAACCAAATTTTGATATATATACATGCATATATACTAAATATACATATATATGAATATATACATAAATGTGTATATATTAACATTAAATGTCAGTTGTAACATGTCTACTATAGCATTCACTATATTACACTATTCTTGTCTAATGTTTAGCTTTCCCATTGACCTGCAGCTCTGTTATGGCATGGGAGTATGTCTTCTTATTTTAAGAAGCACATAGCATAGCACAAAGTAAGTGTTTAGTATATATTTGGTAATGGAGGGTATAATTAACATGCTAACTCAAATAAGGCATGTAAAACTGCTTTGTATGGTGACAGGCACATGACAGGTGTTTGTTTAATAAATATGTAAAGAATCTGAAATCTCATGGCTTCTACTTCTAGTAACAAAGAAGTCAACATCCTGATTCTCTTTTTTTCTGATGTCTGACTCCTTCTAGCATCAATAGCATTAACATATGTGTCCCTTAAGGGTGAACCATGAGTCTCTCATAGGAGGATTAGTCATATACATTTTCTATACTATTAGTGGGGTCATCTATCAGTACCACTACTGTTTCTTTGAGATTAAAAATCATTTTTCCTGCTTATAAGAGTAATATATATTCACTGAAAAACAAAGATTAAATAGGGAAAACATTAAAAGTAACCYAGATTTTCTAAAGTCACCATCAATAAGTAATCATTCTCATCATTTAAGTATTTATACCCATTAACTTAAACAATAATTTTAACCATTTTTAAGTGTACAATTCAGTGGCACTAAGTACATTCATGCAACCATCACCACTACTTCCAAATGA